CGATTGCTTTGATTCAATTTAAGACCTAAAGAAGAAATTTTGTCCCAGCCTGGACCTCCTAATATGCTGTTTGAAGCGCCACTATCTAGTAAACCACACAATTGAACACCTAAAACTTTCACTTGTAAATAAGGTCTTTCATCTCCTTTCGCATGAGTTAGAATGAAATCCAATATTGCCTGCTGTTTAGCCGGGACTTTATTTAGGACTGTTTGTGGGATTGCCTCTATACAGTCATCTAGCGCCTCCCTTGATAGTTTCCCTGACGTTTATTAGAGCATGTGGGGCACGTGCGTACCGTATGATTTTTAAATCCACATTTAAAACAATGCTTGGTTCTAGCCTCGGTACACAGGTTTGCTCTGTGTCCGCTTTTCCCACAATTCCAACATGTGAATTCAGAAACAGCATCGCAATTTGCTGTTGAAGTAGATGGCTCAGAGTAAATATAGGCCAAATCTGGCTCTAGAAACTTTTTGTTTCTTGGCGGAGGCGTGAAAGCTTCAATTGCTGCTTTGCGCTCCTCCAAACGACGGCCCAATTCCAGTAATTCCTCAATTGAATTAATTTCAGTAAGTCCCAGCTGACTCTGGTAGAACGGCGTAATATTATTCATAAGGATTCTCAATTTAGCGCTCTCTGGCACGTCACACGTAAATCTTTTAAAAGCTGTTTTCATTGTGGCTATATACATTCCAATTGACTCGTCTGGTCCTTGAGTTCGCTGATTAACTTCTTTAAATAATTTTTCATTCCAGTCCTTTGGCAAGAATTCCTTTTTTAATTGTGTTTCTAAATCATCCCAAGTATGAATATTCTCACAATTAGCAGTGTACCAAAATTTTGCTTGGCCAATGAATAAATCACTTGCTGAGGCAACCAGTTGTCCCTTCGACACATTTCTCGAAACTGAAAGCTCTTTCACTCTATCCAAAAATGCCAACAAAGACATATTTTTCCCATCAAATTTAAGGTTCCACTGATACACAGGAACTGACTTAATATGGGTAGAAGATGATGCTTGATGATTCACTGGTGCTGCAGTGGATGCATGACGAGGTGGCTGGAATTCTTCTTCGGATTCCGAAGTTACATCTGTAGTTGATTCATCACTGGAAAGTGTCGTTGAAGACAATAATGCAGCAATTTCCAGAGGACCCTGCGTTTGCGAAAGTCTCTTATGCTTTCTTGCCTTGCTCTGCAATGTAGCTCTGAAACCCAAAATCGAAACCAGGATTTCTGATCTTTTCATCTTTTCATCCTCTGAAGAAGCAGGCATTTTGTTTGCTCGTCCATATGCATGTGAAATTTTTGAAGCCAGCTTCGCATATTCTGGAGATTCTTGACCAGTCGCAAAGCCTTTAAGCAAATCATCAATCTCAGTAATTTTCTGTGTAAGTGCATCATAATCTTCCTGAAATGTAAATGGATGTTTTGGAAAAGTAAATCTTGGATCCTTCCGTTCGACTTTCAACAACTGACGAAAAGTCTTACGCAAGTCGGTAGCTTTGGATGTGTCATCCACTGTGATTCCGCGAATAATCACCTCATATATTAACTCTTCCTTTTCCAAACGATTGACCTCCATTTTCATCGCCATTGTGCCACAATATACACACTCACAAAATATATCTAACTTAAAAATATTATAATTACTTATTAACACCTAACCCACTCACTAGTACCACGGCTATCTAATGAATTATTGTTGTAGCTGAATGCTTCACACAACCTTTTTTTTTTTTTTTTTTTTTTTTTTTTTTTTTTTTTAATTAAAAAAATAACACACAACCGAGTTCCTACCTACACAACTCAACAAGTCTCAAAATTTTGAACCCTACAAAAGTAGTCCAAATAAAAGTCCAAAACAAAACCGGAAAATCTTTACGTATCAACAAAGCAAGGTCTTTATAATGTTTACAAAATAATACCAAACTCGGAACCTAAACTTAAGCTCAAGTAAAACCCGTTCCAAAATTCTCAAGCCAGACCACGTACGATTTTATCTAATTCGTCTTATTCGTCTTCCCCTAATCCCAATACTAAGTCGACCAAACCAAAAAATCAACAATGGTTACCTATAAAAATAACCACATAGAGGTATTTCCTCTCCAGGAGTTGTTGCAAAAATACCCTCTATTCACAGTGAAGTACGATTTCCCAAAATATTGTAACCCAGTAAAATTCTAAATTTGGCAATACTGCAGGAGTTATTATATTAATGAAATCAATATGACCCAAGGCTTAATTTTATCTGAAATATGTAGGTATAGCCCTACTTGGCAAGGTCGAAATCATTATTGTCCAAAAGAATTTATAAACATAAACTATTTCAAGGCTATGCCAAAATTTTCAATGCAAAAATATTCCTTTATAATAATAAACAGATGACCTTGTTTATATTCAAGCAAAATGCTTAAAATCTTATACTTCGATCACAATAGGTACCCATTATCCCCTTTTTTGTCGCGCTCCTGATCAAGAAAAGAGAAAGAATTTGTTATCAAAAAAAAAAATCCTCAAAATTTTTAAATTAGACTATCCCTAGCTAATTTTCCCAAAATAGGGGTTGAAGATTTAAACCGAAACGTAATAGTTGGGCGCCATTTTGCCACCCTCCAATTTTCCCCTAAAGCAAGATACACAAAATAGGGTGGTCAATAAGAGTGTCAGGCTAGCTACCTGCCGGTGAGTGGTCGTGCAAGTTCTTAAAGTATGAATAAAAATAAAAGGGCGCCAGTGACCTTATGAAAATCCCTTTACACTCTCAAAACGTTTAAGTATCCGGCCACGTAATACTTTCTACTTTACTTTCTGCATCTTACAAGGAACCGAATCATTCTAAACTTCATTCAATAACCTTGGTCACTGGGTATCATCAAGTGTCAATTAAACATTAGCTAGGGGAAGTCAAGTAAACAGAAACATAATCAAATGTACGTATATTAGGATTTCTGAAAATATGGAACAATAAAACATTCAGTGTTCCTGAGACTCTAGAAAAGATTATGTTTATCGAAATCGCACCCAGAATAAATGTTAATTATTGCTTAAATTTGCTATTATGGAATGCCTATATGTAATAATTTTCTCAGTACCTTTTGTGATCACAATCGGCTTACACAATATTTATGTAAACAGTTATATACACACTTCTCAGTATAGGCGTTAAGATATAAAACTCTGGGCGCGAAATGTTATGGCATAGAGTCCCAAATGATTAGTTATGAGTTCCAAGGATGTGAACGAACAAATTTGCGGACTTCTATAGCGACTATAGGTTTCAGAGTTATAAAATTATGAGGACTCAGGAACCCGCAAATATTTTGGATATTTCCTAAATCTTACACAATGTATTGATAACACACTATAAAAAAAATTAAAGGTTCGATAGTAACGTGATATTATTCCCAGAATAGGTTCCCAAAGACGTTGATACACTTATCTGGCAATCTGGAGAATCCACAGATTGTATTAACGTCCGGATTGTAGAATAGGCGATCTAAAGGGCCTTATTAATCGTGAGAATAACCAGCTAACGAGAGTTGGACATCGAGTAGCTGCTTTACTGTTTTTAAAGGTATGACCACGTACCCTCTTGGTACAACCTTGCTACCCTAAAATGTGACATAAAAAACCCTATTGAAATATAGTTATAGAAAACTACGATTTTCTATGAATTATTGTGCAATAAAAAAAAGTCCTGAGAAATATTTTGAAGAGCAAAATATTTGAATTCAATTTGCCAAAATTATTGCACAACCTTCATTGATTTTTCGTTCAAATAAAAAAACAATTAAGTACTGCTACTTACACACTGGAATGTAAAGTGTGGATTTTCAGCTTCAATATAAGAAGTTTGTCGATTTCCCAAGAGTAGACGATCTTCCAATTTTCTATAGCAAAAGAAAACACGTCACAAATAAGCCCCAACACTTAGCAATATACTCAGAAAATGTAATTAAATAATAGGAAAACTCACCAAGAGAATTGAGTAATATTCAGCTTTGAGGCGATCACTTTAATCCGACATAAGTCGATGAGTGAGTACAACAACTCCACAAGAGAACCAAATTCACTCAGGATGCTAAATAATGGATATAGATCCCTTTAAAAGGAACGTGCTACAATCTGACGTCTTTTCAAAATTTCCATTAATAGCTGTGATCGGATCAAAAACCAAATGACCACTAAATCACCTTTTCACAATTCGATAGGAACCAATTGGTGCATCGTAGCGGAAGCGGGGTACGAGGGGTACCTAACGCGTTGTGTGGGAAACGAATCGACGCATTAATATATTCTCAGGAATTTCTCAAGTCCTACAATTATGATACTTATGTACATTTTATATACAGAATCCTAAACTAATCGAAACCGTTACACAATTGAGAAACTTCAGAGTTATTCTAGAACAATTAGGGTTCAATTTAGAGTTGGAAACCTCTTAGAACTCTTTTGAACCAATTTAGAACTCTTTGAAGCTTCAATAGAGGGCTCTAAAATACTCAAAAATCTGTCAGAACAATTTAAAAATTACTGAAAAGTTTCTAGTATGCTCCAGAACTTTTCAAGCCAATGATATATTAGGTACTTTTCAAGATCAAATATTGTTCGTCGATCTAAAAGTTACGTTTTTACAAAGATAGAAGTTCATTCAGTTTCTCGTCTAGTGGTTCAGTTTAGAAGATATCCATATTCAATAAGTTTTAAATTGAAAAATAAATATTTACCACAAAAACCACTTTTCCCTAGCCCATTTTTAAACTCTACTTGTTCTAATGCTAAAAACAATTGTAGAGGATTATACAATTTAGATGCGAAGTGATATTGTGCACGAGAAAAAAGTGAGCAAACTGAATCAACCATTTTTCTCATTTAACGATCTTAAATTACGCCTTTACTATCTTAATCTTATTAACTTTTTATATTATCCACATAAAAATAACATAAGTTAATGAATGAAGAATCATCCAATAATAAATTGAAGAAAATTGTTTTAAAAAGTATATTATATCTAGAGAAATAAAACACAAACAAAACCTAACTCAAGAAATAAAATTACAAAGATGCTATGATGGGACTCAGAATCTTCTGGTATAAGTAATAGAGCCCACCGAGCAGGAAGAGTCCTTTGAAGACTATGTCAACAATCCACATTCTGAAAAAAAAAAACGGATATACTAAATTGTATAAGGTATATAACTATATGTTTAAGATAGATTCTTACACAAACATATGCCTCCTGGCTGCCGGCAAAGTCTCATCGCCTTCCTTAAGAATATATAATCTAGCCGCATGAACACAAGTGGTGAAATATTCGTAATAATCCACATCATCCCCATCGCATTTGTAAATTTGCCTCTCTCTAGGATTTAATGTGTCTCTAGCATTGAGAGATTCCACGTTGTCAAAATCCCATTGGTTGTTTGCGTAATATTCAAATACTTCGAAACCTTTCCAGATACGTTTTTGGACTCTACACAATCTAGAACAAAAAAAAAAGAAGAAAAATAAAACCTGCTGATGGGCATATATAAATAGCATCAGCAAATGTTCAGAGATACTAGGAGCAATAGAGTTGAAGAGGTATCATTATTACCCTAAAAGTTATGTGAGGAATATTTCTTAAAATATCGACTTACACTGGCTTATATCCAAGAATAATTAAAAGAGCATCGACTAGAACGGCAGGCACTAGATGAAAGAAAAAGAAACAAATCAAATGGACTATTCTGGAACGTTTCATCGAACCACCAGGGTACCAAGCAACTCCATTTAAAGGTATCCTTTCATTGATGACTTTTCTTCCTATTGTTATAATTTCTTCCATTGTGACCTTGTGTTCTGCTGAACTTGTTAGATTATAAATCCATTTTTCTTTGCTAAAAACCAAATAAAATTTGTCTTCCCGTTAACAAGTTCAAAATAACATACACATATCATATTTAACCAATAGTCCAGATGCAAAATCTTGCCAAAGGCTTGTCTTTGAAATATTATTTTGTTCTGTTGGGTGGTAAGGATTTATCTGTGCTAATAGAAAATACTATGACTGTAGAGAAATTCAAAGTTCTTACTTCTGCGTTGAATAATACCACAACGATATCATGGAAGCATTAACAGCAATATCAACTGGCAGGTAGTCTGCATAGCTTTCTTGTTTGCAATACATCGTCCTCAAGACACCTTTTCCTGCACCAATAAGAAGTCCTGTCGGACCGTTTATGTTGTCGGTCCATCCAGGGATTGGTTCCTTGTAAATGGGAATAACTATAAAATTTAACATTAAAAAAACTGTTGCCAAATGTTTAGGTATTGTTCTTACCAACCGATGGCCTCAATATTATAACTGGCAAGTTGCCCAGTTCCTTTTGCTCTACAACTAAAGCTTCACCTAAAGCTTTCGTGAAAGCGTATGTGTTGGGTATATCTTGCAAGATTCTGTAACAAATTCATTGAGATTACTTAGTTTTTTTTATATTCAGACATAGGTACATACATGTAAATGTATTGAATTTATTAAAATGTATAAAAATAAATAACTTTTTTCCAAAGGTACATAATAATAAGCAGCTGTATTTCTGTTATCAATCATACAGACAGGATCAGGCTACTAGACACATAGGCTTCCATGGGACCAGTTGACTGATGCCCATATTACCCATTTCGAGCTGCATGTTATTTAAATTCGTGCATCTTCGGCAGCAAAGCTCATTGGCTCCGCTACTCGGCTTCGACAACACCGCCTCGATTCTCTGACACTAGGTACAAGCTAATTCGTCTTATTACTCACTATGTGTCTACACTTTATTTTTTCCCAAGATAGATTTTGACATTGAAAACTTTGAAACATAAACAATAACGCTTGACCCTGATTGATCGCAAAATGAGGTGTTTCTGCAGGTTGACATCAGGTTTACAATAGCGACCTAGCGACCAATAAGCGGCATTAGCGGCATTGTTTATGTTTCAAAGTTGACAATGCCAAAATCTATCTTGGGAAAAAATAAAGTATAGTAGGTTGATGTGGGAGGTATACCACTAACTAGTGAGGCTATAATGTTGCATATACCTACTTATGTAATGTTTGTTAGAAGGAACCATCAGAGAAAAGCTCTATATACTAAAACTCAATTATGAGACTCGTTTTGGATTTCAAAACAAAAAAAATGCTACATCAAAAAGACCCTTTTAATTATGGTCACGCCACGACGTTTGTGGTAAAATAAAAAAACCATTTAAAGCGATTATTTATTTAATAATTATTATTATGACATCAATTTCCTACATACGAAGTTCATTGTCAATAAATTTTTCTAGTATAGGTAAGTATGTTTATTATCATTAATCATGCTGAATTGACGAAAACATAGATATCATGCAATAGAAATATTCTCGATAATTTCAGGCATTTTATTAACCACCAAAAAATGTTTTATATCAAGATTAATAGTGGTTTAATCAATAATAGAACATTCAATAAAATATTTCCCTTATTAAAATGATTACTATTGCGTCCATTCTCTACTAAATCCATATATTTGTCAGGCATAGCGTCTTTAACTTTAGGATTAGATCCTACAGAACATTTAATTGGTAAGGTACAGTCTATTACTTCCACCATCAATTCCTTTAAAGTAAGTGCAGCTTTCAGTCCACAAACCTTTGATGTTTTAATGTAGTAACAATCGATAATTCTTTTGTAAGTTAAACAAACTTGGACTGGTTCGTTTTCGTACCAATCGGCGATACCATCGCAAGTATCGTAATCTTTGTCCAAGTCAGTATAGCACTTGTCGAATTTATCGTATTTATTATAAAACTCGTTGTTTTTGCAAAGTTTTTCATCGAAAGCTTTAAGTCCCATGATCAAATTCGTATACAAGCTTGCTTCGGCGGTACAATTTTTAAAAAAATGGTTAATTTTTTTCAAAGTTGCTGTCACTCCCGAACAAGTAGTTTCAAAATCGGCTATAGCAATACCGACGATGCCCTCGGGACTAGAAACTTGACGTTCTGCTAGAAATTCAATGAGCTTATCTTCTTTGCAAGGTAGTTTTTCTGGCGTCACAGCTCTTACATGTCTCACTTCGTCTTCTCGAAAATAAATTGGTGTATAAAAGGCATTTACAGTATCAGTGTAAAAGAAAAGTGTATAAATAATAATGGCTTTTAACATTGGAGATATCAAATAATTTTTGACAAGAGGTTTTGAACGTTTTGTTGTCATGTCATATTGGTTGAAATTACAGTTTTTTTTTTTCAAACAGAAAACTATTGTTACAAAATTGGGTAATTGTTAAGTAAAGGTCCTTCACACGGGTTAGTTTGCATATTTTTGGTAGGTTTCGTTACAGTTCGTTTATTACTGGTTATAAGTTTACTGGTTAATTACAAAGCGCGCGAAAACCAAAAACATAGAAGAGGGTCTTGGACAATGAACATGCTAACGCACTTCCCTGTTCGTTGACAACAGACAATAGGGACTGGCCAGACGAGATTAGTCTTCAACCCATTGTGCGAAATTAAAACTGGAAAATCCACAGGTTACTGATAGAATGGTAATCGATGAAAGATTTTAAATTGAAATTGAAAGATATCGAAACTGAAAAGGATATTGTTTCACTTTACCTGGCTTTACTTCCAAACTTCACTAAGTTTGGCCAACTTAGTGGAGTTCAGGAAGTTCAAGTCCAATGCGAAGGAGTGCAAACGGAACCGTCTTGATTTAACCGGTCGCGGCAAACGAAAAACCGCATGTCTATGTTATCGAACCACACGAAACGGACGGAGTGTTTTTGGCGACTGATCGTACTTGTCGCCAGTGTAAGGACTTTTCAGCTATCCTTTTTAAGTGTTTAACGCGCGCATTCTTAAAAGCCAAATCTAGCAAAGCCGTATCAATTCTTAGGCATATGGCATATAGCACGCGCAATTCAATTAGAATAAAAGAAAACAAAAATAAAGAGAAAAAAACGAATCAATTTCCATTCCCAAATAGGATTTGACATCCTAAATACCCAATTTAACCTACAACTATATACAGGCCAAATAGCATTTGGACGTCGGCCCTACGTCGCCGCACACAACCTGACGTTGGTTATTGACCTCGGATTAACCATTTGCCGATCCTTTTTTGCACTAATTTGAAACATTCAAATTTGAGTCGTGCCGACGTTGGTAACCAACTTTCGAAGTGCTGCATCATTCACCAAATGCAACGTTAATTTACGTTTAGTTATGTTAACGAGAAAATCTGAGATTTTGGTTCAATTTTAGTGATTTTATTTCCACCCCGGGAGCACCAATTCTCTACTTCCAAACGCTGATGCGACTTCCTTCGGAATCATGTGAGATAAACGACAATAGAGAACTGGGTATTGTATAAAACAATAATGGCGTACGATTTTTTGTAGTGAAGGTAATTAATTAGAACTTGCTGGGCCCTTGTTGAGACCAAATATTGCTAACGCACGACACTTTACTGATACACATGACCATGGTAGATCGAAAAATATGCATGCCCCACGTCTATCGTCGGAATTTATCAAATTTAATTTAAAAAAATAATAATAATAAAAAAGAAAAATGTACATATAGTCTAAGAAATTTGATTTAAAATCGTACATAAAACGTTAGAGAAACAATATTTTCTTGAAAATCTCCTGTTTACTGTCAATTTCATACATATTGGAAAATTAAAATAAAATTTTCATAATGGCTGACAAGATGCTTCATCGACGTAGCCTTAAAATATGGCGGAGTTGGTAGTTGAACTAATATTTTCTTAATTTAACCAAAGGAAAAGAAATCGCCACCTAAAATTACGAAGCACAACCTTGAAGTCGGAGATACCACCAAATTGGACCTTGCTGAGACGTTAGGATCCGACCTCAGTTTTGGTTCTTTGAAAATTACTAAAGACGACGACAACATAATCTAATGTGTTTATTTATTTTGATTTGAATTTATTGTTGGAAAGAGATGAAATTATTTTATTCTATTTTATTTTTGGTGAAGTGCTGTGTGTGTTAATTTTTGGATTGATCATTATGCATTGTGGCAAAGGTAGTCCTACTCCGAGTAGGATTATCTTTGATTGTGAGCAAGTTTCCCAATCAAAAGTTTTGCTTTTTTTCTATAAAAATAAGCGGTGTGCCTATAGGCTTGTTTGGCTGGCATTTCGAAACAAAAAAATATATTACCTATTACTATAACAACAAAATTGGAGAATAATACTTGAAGAGTATAACTTCTAAAGGTTCTAAGTGCCATCTTGATAATCTTTGAGATAATGTTTGAAAATGGTTTCAAGTCTCAAGCCAATACAATCAAAAAGGGTCTATGTGGCAACAATATATGTACCTATTTGGTTCTGATATTGATTTAAAGATGGTGCAGAATGTAAGTAAAAGCTTTATATAAGCATCTTTGTAGTATTTTTCTCGTTTTTCTCCAAATCAAAATTATGGCACGAATTTAGAAATTATACTCTCCAATTATTGATCAAGTTTGTGTTGTTGTCTTTTGTAAACGACGATAAGGTTGAGATATTATGTTGTCTAACCTCCGACACTTTTCGTAACCTTAATTGTATACCAATGCCATTAATGCCAACGTTATACCCAACAACAATTCAGCTAACAACTTTGGTTATATTTTTTTAGCTAGATTTAAAGTATAGGAATAAAGACGTCTAACCGTGGTCGATATTGGTTGAATGCATTGCTAAAAAAACGCCCGTCAAAAGTTAACGTTTGCTCAACGTCGCCAGCTTTACCATAAAAACCTATACACTCGAAAACGTCTGATCTACTGATCTGAGGTTAATTTAACGTCGGCTGGAGGTCGGGTATCTACTTCGACTGAAAAGTTGATAGGTGAGCTAAATTTCTACCAATTATAACGTCGGAACTAGTGAAAATCTAGTCGTAAGTCGGAAAAATGCTACTTGAGGGGCGCGTAGACGAAACTGAACACCCACCGACTGGGACTGGCAAACTACCAAACAGATCCCGAGTGAAGAAAAAATTCGATGGGCGGTACTAAGCTTCTCGAATTTCAAATCCCCCGGCTCTGACGGCATACGTCCAGCCTTATTTCAATGGGGTCTGGACATCTTAATGCCGCACCAGGTAATGGCTTGCCTAGCGCTGCACTACATACCGAAGACATGGAGAGAAGGGAGAGTAGTTTTCATCCCCAGAGCAGGCAGGCTGGACTATACCATCCCTGAACCTTATTGTACCATCCACATCATTCGTACTCAAAACATTGGAGAGGCTATGTGAGCGCTACCTAAGGGATTGTATACTGCTCAACAGTCTACTACACCCTAATCAATATATGCATGCACCTCGGGTAGATCGGCAGACATGGCCCTGCACTCAGCAGTGAGCCGTATCGAAAAATAATTGGACTACTACGAGTCCACCCTTGGTGTATTCATTGACATTGAGTGCGCGTCTGACAAGACCGCCTTCAAGAAAATTAAGAGAGGCTGTCCACAGGTTGGCGTTTTATCGCCGCTGTTATGGAACCTTGTTCTCGACAGCCTCTAATGGATTCTTTACAGTTTTTTCAGAAAACCTGTCGATACTGCTTAATGGAAAATTCGAAGGAGTCCTGCGCAATAATATGCAGAGCGCCCTTCGTCTAGTTGAAGAATGGTGTTGGGAGCACTCCCTATCTATCAACGCCAGGCAGACGAAAACGATGCTCTTCACTAGAAAAGGAAGGACGATACACACAATTGAATTTTGTTAAGTAGGTTTGAGAGAAGACTAAAAAGGGCATACATTTCTTTCGAGCACTGCCACAGAACTGTAGGTAGAACTTGGAGCCTCAAACCTAGAGTTGTGATGTGAATCTACAATGCCATCATCAGACCTATGGAGTCATGGTCTGATGGTCCAAAAGTTAACAAGTAACGGCAACGCGTAAGCTCAGTCAGATCCAGAGAGTGGCCTGCCTTACCACAACGGAAGCAATGCGAACAACGACAACTAGGATCATGAAATGAATTCTCTACCTGCCACCACTTGACATTCAAGTACCTTAAGGAAGTGGCACGTATGACTGTTGGTACGCTGCGGTTGGTGCATTAACTATCGTAAGCTCTGGAGCCAAAAATTGCAAACTTGGGTAGATATTATTACTAAGCCTTCAACAAAGCCTAGACTATTCTCACTATAATTCTGAAGAGGCCACAACATCTTCGTCGCTGCCCAAGACCAAAATTTTTAATCCTCCAATTTTCCTTAACTTTCTCTCCATTTTCAATTTCCACGCCTTTCGGTCGTTGTAGCCGACAAAACTTCATTCCTTTCATCTTTGTGGATGGTTGTCTTCTCACGGGGCCGGCTGTGGAATTTATTTGAGGCTCGAACTTAAGTGGCGTATGGATAAACATGCTAGCAAAGTCCAAACCGAACTGGGCGGCATATCTATTACCGCTGGAGAGATAGTCTTGCAGAAGAATCAATGACAGAAGTCATCATCCACTCTAATTGTAGACAAGCCTTATCGGCCCTAAACAGCCAAAAATTTGCTGCGGGGTCAGTACTAGAATGCAACAACTTAGTGGCAGTTGTTACTCTAAAATATAGAATATCTGTCAGGTGGGCCAAGGGGCACGCGTAGTATCGTGGCATTAGCTTCCGACGTCCCTACAGGGGGAAACGAACGAGTTCAGTGCGGCCAGGGGGTCACCTCAGGGCCAGGAAATGTCACCCTGCTGTGGTCCTTCTTAGTTGGCTTTCTGCTGGATGACCTCTCCAATAAAGGTTTCGTTTTTCAGTGTTATGCGGACAATCTAGTTATCGTAATTAGAGGGACACATGAGAATAAATCATTTCCGGTATCATGCAAACCGCTCTTAACATGGTTACGAACTGGTGGGAGATGCAACAGCTGTCTGTGAACCCCCGCGAAACAGTAGTAATTTCTTTTACTAAAAGGAGAAAGCTGGACAAGCGTCGTCAACCAATTATGTATGGCGAATCAATTCCATTTGCGGATTAGGTTAAATATCTCGGTGTTATACACTTCGTTTCTCCATACGAAAAATATCAATAAAGCCAGATTATCCCGCTGGAATCTCAGAAGGATTTGTGGCAGGTCTTGGGAGATGGCCTCTAAGCAGATCTACTGGATTTATAAAACAGTCATAAAACCAATGGTCATGTATGAAGCGGTGGTATGGTGTGGTGGACCAAAGCTCTCCAGACAACGGCTAGAGCAAAGCTAACTAAGCTACAGCGACTGACGTGCTTGACCATTACAGGCGCCAAATCAACCTCGCCGACGTCCGCGATGGAGAATATCCTTAATATATCCCCTGTACACATTTGTTTGGAGTGGTAGGCGAGGAATGTTACCCACCGACTTTTGTCGTTAGGAAACCAGACAAATGATGAAAGGGTTTGGGATCACGCGGGTCTGCTGCTTGAGCTCAAAAATCACCACATCCTAACATGATTTCAGACTCTATTCCTACGGTAATAAGAACGCACGAGCCTTATAAAGTTCTCTTCTCGGAGAGAGATGAATGGAAAGATGGTAAAATCTCCTTTCCTGAGGCAAGCATTGTTTTATACATGGATGGCTCCAAAAGCCCTAATGGTGTTGGAGCTGGAGTTTTCAGCAGCAGACCGAAGACTGAATTCTCAATCAACCTCAGGATGTATGCAGGCAGAAGTTTGTGTCCTTGTTCTGTATGCCAGAGAGCTATTTGATCGCTCCACCACAAACAAAAACATTATACGTATACCTACTGTGTCAGATAGCCAGGCGGCGCTAAAATCCCTGAGCTCCTACCGGATTACCTCAAAACTGGTGAGAAACTGCATCGAGTCCCTCACATTGCTAAGCACCAACAACAGGGTAACCTTACTTTAGGTGCCGGGGCATCAGGGCATGGAAGGCAACGAAAAAGCTGACGCCCTCGCAAAAAAGGAAGCGGAAGCCGGTTTCATAGGACCGGAACCGGTTGAAGGCATCACAAAATCGAATGCTAAGGATACTATTGCCAGCTGGACCCGATCTCACTGGAATAGCGCTGTCCCACTCTAAGGCGTTTATAAAGGAACCCTCTAGAAACTACACAAAGCAGATACTGGAATGGAGCAGAAAAGACCTGCGCAATCTCACCGGACTGCTAATCGGCCACTGTCGGCTCAACTACCACTTAAACAAGATTGGTCTGTGCAGGTCTTGGACTTCCGCTTTTGCTGGGTGGAAGACGAAAACCAGAGCATATCGCCTGCCCAGCAATGGAGAGGAAAAGGTTGACGATCTTTGGATATACCCAGATGGAACCAAACGATTTCAGACAAGTTTTGCCGTTCACAACCATAGACTTTATCAAGAGCTGTGGCTTGTAAGACAAACTATAACCATCTGGTGATTGTTAGCCACAATAGACCCAGCGAGGGTCATAGTAGAAGGCTGGTTAATCGGCCCACTCATGTCAAACCTAACCTAACCTAACCTTAGCCTTACAGATAGACTGATGAATTAGGTCACCTTCCAGCTCCCCAATATTGGGACCTGGTCCTTCATCTGATCTACCCCTTGCTACTGTAACTCAGATGATCAAAAAGATCATCACCCTTGCATGAAAGGACTTCACGTCCAGATGGGATTTGACTACCTCCTGTCAACAAGAACGTACATGGACATGTCAAGGAAAAACCTTCGTTTCACCACAGGGTTTCTGCCAGCTAAGAAAACATCTCCATTCAATGAGATTAAGAGAGTTACCTCTGTGCAGGGGTTCCGAACAGAAGAACGGAATGATGAAGGATCTGTTTTGCCAACTCGAACATAAGGGAATTCATTCTGGAAAAATGCAGGCCTGGTACGGCCTTTCTGATGGAAACCTCTTCAGGCTACATCTCCATCTTCTTCGAAACATTAGGCTGGACGATGGCCTGAAGGATTGACAGGACCGGGAGATCCAATGGGGCCTAAGTTCCGTGACCCGTCATGAGACACTCTCTAACAAATCCAGAGCTACCTCTTTTCTACGTGGCAAATACACCCAAATGGAGCAAGTTAAATCGAAAGGCTTGTAAAAAAAACTCAAAAGAAAATTTAAAATCTTTTTTCTACAAACGTGTTAAAAATGCAACTTTTAACACCCCCTCGAAGCATTAAAAATGTTACTTTATCGCACTAGTGTTAAAAGTCTTTAAGGCACTAGTGTTAAAAATGAAACATCAAAATTTGAAAGCAAACGTCAAAAAAAGTTTGTATTTTTAATTTTTTACATTAATTTTAATGGTAAAATTTGAACAACTGAGGAAGCTCCATCGGCCGCCTCCTCTATATTTTTCAAGGGATTGATGCAACCCTCTTTTTCTTGTGTATTTTGTTGCATTTTTAGCAAAAAGCCTACTGACCACGATAGACCATACGACAGACTTTTAAGAAACTGACGAGACATTTCATTACCTGTAAAACAAGGTGCTGGTTGTTTGAATTTTTTGACAAATATCAAATTCATTAATTTTACGTAGAAAAGATGCTTCCAATTTATTATTCATTTGAAAATCCAATTTGTCACTGGTTATTGCTTGTTATTGCCGTTTGTAGAAAAAATATTGTATGATATTTGTGTTAAAAGTATTTTTAAGGCACTTATGTGAATTGCAGAATTCGCTTCGCTCATTCTGCAAACTTTCACATGCGTGCCTTAAAAATGTACTTTTAACACTTATATCATAAATAACTATTGTGTGCCGTATTCAATTAAATACATACTAAAAAAATCTGATTTATTCGTTGGATTTCAAGTATCTATTTTAAACATTTATTGGAAACTTTAATAATTATTTAATTCGGGAAATATTTTTAGGCAGTAATTAATTAACAAGTCTTAATTATTAATAGGAAAAGCTTACTTACTAGGAAGCGCTGGGTAGACCATACGGATATATATCATTTGCAAACCAATTAATAATTAGTATAATGACTGATGATTAATTTAAATAACATATATTTGACCTTATTAAAATATATACTACTTACTTTGGTGTTATCGAGTCAATAATGTCGTCGCTCAACCATTCTACAGCTTGGATGACTTTGTGAGGATCTGCTGGTGGAGGATAAGGAATTTCGTAGAGGATTCTTTCACTCAGGTGACAGTAGGCAGTTGATACGTGGATAAAACACTGAAAAGGAGAAGTTTGTGCTAAGTTTTTACATACAGTCCGTCGATTTTAATCTGATACTCCAAGGGAATGTTAGCTGGTGGCTCCCTACGTTAGAACGCCAATGGTCACCTGACCTGTTTTTGCCATATGCTGCACCCCCTCGCTCCTCATACGGAAAGTGTCAGATTAAAAACGACGGACTTTACAGCGTTCGCCCTTATTCCTTATCTGAGGTGGTAGTTGAGGAACGGTTAGGTTATTATTTATTTACCTGATGTGTATTTACAAAATTTGTAGTAAAAAAAAACAATTTAGTGTAGGGTACCTATCAAGTATAGGTCTACGAGGAAAAAGTTTTTGCCAAGGTCAAGGAAAGATAATTTAAAAGTCACTGAGATAATTATCTGGTACGGTTAATGTTTTTGTGCAAGCGTGATAATTGTTTGTGTAATTACGAAAAACCCAATAATTGCTTTAAAAAAAAAAAATCATAAGTGAGAAAGTAGAAAAACATTATGATCCTGATTTATTATTTTAGAAATTTGATATTTTGACTTAAAACGAACATTCGGGACCGCAATGCCTGACAGGAAAGTAAGATTAGCTTGAATTTTAATGCGAAATTTAATGATTATAACTATTGAATTAACATAACGCTTACAAAATATAGTTTTGTTAGGGGTTATTGAAATTTTAATGAACCTAGAAAATAGTGTAAATCAATATACGCAAATCTATCTTGAAATATCTTCAATGTCAACTGGTTCCTACCTTATAAAAAATGTAAATGAGTGAAGTGTTTAATTCAGACTTGACACGTGAAAAGTAGTTTCAATTTTGATCTTGACTAATGTTTACTCTATCTAGTGGTAATAAAATAATTTAAAATTGAATTAGTTTTCTACATGGCCAAAGCTATTTTGATCGTCCGTTTAACAGACATAAGAATATTGCGAGAAAGGGAAGAGATCAAAAAATCTGCGATTTGAGTCATTTTTTGATTGATTCAAGCAGGTTCCTTCTCTTAAGGTCATGAATCATAACTTTCTTCCGCAATATTATTCTCTAAACATCAAACTTCGACTTACCAACAATTTTTTGCATTCCTTGGCCAAATCCAACATAAACTTGGTACCTCTGGCGTTCAATAGTACGGCTCTTCTCAATGGTTCGTCAAATCTAATTGTGGCAGCGCAATGGTAAATGAAATGAACTTCACTGGCTAACATTTCTCTGTCTTCTTCGCTAATGCCCAGTTGTGGTAGCATGACGTCGCCAACCACTGCGTCGACTTTTTCGATTATATCTTTGCCCCTTTGTTCTTTGACCATATCGAAGAGCTGAAAAGTAAATAAAAATAATGTATGGAATCACAATTATTATGGTAAATACAAAAAAAAGGGGCAAAGTTATTGATGCTTTTCTTAACAAATGCCATAAAGCTTCTTGGAGCTAATGCTCTTAGGAAATTTACATTTTTAAGGGCCACTTCTATTAGTTTTCACATCAGTTTATGATATTGTTTGGCCATCATTTTATGTCATATTTTGCAATCGTCTAAATTATAGTATATGGGTACTTTTATGTGAGTTATTTCCCAATAAGAAAATTACTTTTTGTTGCTTGATGGATGGTACCTTTATGCCTTAATAAAAAAACTTTTGCAATAACTACTAATGTTTGTGTGCTAATGAAAATACCAACCATTAAATATTTATTGTTTGCCTTAAAGTTTTAAGGTAGCAATGCAAATTGGTTGTTGCGTATATCTATTTCATATTATGTAACAAGTTTAGAAAAGTCAAACTTTATTAAATTAGGAGGGTTAGGAGCTAAGCAGGGAAAGAAGAAATGGTGGCAAAAGCAAGGACAGAAAAAGTCAAATTCACTTCGATCACATACTAACACAAGAGCATACCGGGATAAAATAGAGAGTAAGGAAAACAATATTGAACAGTTTAATGAGACGTTGGTGGAGGTAGGTAATAAAGAAATGCGAAGATAGTCAACCAAGGAAAACTGAAAAAGTCACCGAAGACACAAGGAACTTAATGCATACAAGAAGAGAAATGAAAGATAAACACACAACGAACATACCAGAGCTAAAGAGTGTAAACAAAACTATTTCAAAGGCCATAAAGAAAGACACATGGAACTTTAACAAAGAAACAACTAATATCATGGAACAAAACTGAAACGGAAGTTGAAGACAGGAACGAGGAATATTTACAGGTTAGAAAATAACCAAGGATACATCATACATGAACAAAAAGATATTCTGAAAACCATCGAATAGTATTCTACATATATAGTCGGGATGATTCCATCCAAGATGTAGGTACAAATTGAGGGCCAGAGGAACTTCCGACATAACCGGAGAGGATATTAGTAGTGCCATCATTGCCGCATGATTTTATTCAGGCTTGTGATTTTGTAAATCAATTAAAGATTCCTGTAGATTTCAGCAGTAGGTACCTATAGGTAACTCCTGGCAAATGCTCAGTAATCCTGATAACTATAAAATCAAGACTATTGACGTTTGCTCCAGTAATTCCAGTTATAACTCTCCTTTGTCTTTTCTGTGTTCTTTGGATGACCTTTCTGATCTGAAAAGAACCCGTGCTGAACAGGTTATCGTTTGTTTTGATGAAATAGTAAATATTGTCTAGATGGAACAAGTAAGTTAACCTTGTCCTCGAAGCGATTCCAAAAAAAAACGTATCTTATGTCACCTTATTATTATGATTTCACAAATCTTGACTTGAAGAAATTGATGATGTGATTAGACTAGGTGTTATAAAATGCATGAAGAGCAACAGAACCCCTGGAGAAGATGAAATTGCAACTGAAATGATGAAACTGTTTGGTAAATGCGTCATAAAAGCCCTATTGAAGGAACTACACCAGAACAATAGAAGAATGTCATTGTGATAATCTTGTATAAAAAGGGAAATATAACAGAAATTGGATATTATCGAACCAGAGCTGTTGTAAGTATCAAGAAAAAGTACTTAAGTATTAAGTATTTACAATTTTCTTTCTTAATACGAATCAAGTACCAGTACAAGTATAAGTACAGAAAGAAATACTTAAAATATCGAGTACATTGACTTGAATTGTCCAAATTCAAGTATAAGTACCAAATTCCACGAAAGTCAGAGTCTAGTTTAAGTATTTACTTAAACTTGCGTACTTGAAATGACAAGTACGTAGAAATACTTCAAAAAATAATTTAAGTATTTTTTATTCCCATTTTCAATTATTGCTATCGATAATCTTGAAGGGGGTGTGACCCAAAAATAAAAGTTTTAGAACAAAAAAAATCCAAGAACCAATTTTCAAACCGCACTAGGCTGCGACCAACCGTTGGGAAGATACCGTGGTATAAAGTTCCCACTCCTAGCACGGTGACGTCATATACACAAACTGAGTCCAACAGCCGGCGCTGGCGCGCGTTTTCTGTATCTTGCTGCATATTATCCCTGTTCCAACCGCCATGAGAACCGTTCCAGAACCACTAATTTCCAGTTGCCCACCTATTTTTCTATAAATTGAACGTTTATCCTACTTGACAAAAGAATTGATCGACTGGAAATTACCGTTCTAGAACGTTTCTCTTGTCGGTTGGAACAGAGTTATTATCGACATTATCGTATTGTTTTTGCGTTCTCACACCTAATTGCTGCGTCAGTTTAAATAGGTTTTGCAATTTTTGCGTGTGTTTATGACGTCACGCGATGAATAGAAGTATTTAAAAATGCTTCAATTAAAAATATTTACTTCAAGTAATTTTACTGTTACTTAAGTAATTTAATATCACTTAACTGCAAATTTTCAAAAGCTTTCAAGTAAAATATACTTGACAGATATTTTAAGTATCAACTACAAGTAAAGCTTGAAAAACTTGAAATTGGAAGTACAAGTACCAATGTTTGGATTAGTACTTAAGTCAAATACTTAAGTATATTTTTGAACTTAAGTACAGTATCCGCCAAAATAAACAGTACTGAACATATAAATTATATCATTTATTAATTTGTATCATGCGTATATGTTCAAAAAATGCATCATAGCGACGCAAAAAGGCTTCATAACGATTCTGCAAATCATTGAAAATATTAGTTGCTGAAATTTTTCTGAGGCTTGTTTCAAACTTGAGCCTTTATTACTTCCAAATCCGTATGATCAAAAATAGTGCTCTACTAAGAAAACTGTTTCTTAAGTTGAAAGATACATAATGACGAAGATTTCAACCTTAACTTGATGTCAACCTCATAACTAATCCCAAGTAAGCGAAATATGATAAATGCAACTTGCGTGCGCAATTACTCAGAGCTCTAGATTTCGGTACTGTTTATTTTGGCGGATACCGTATTTATTTCAAGTATGTATCGAACTATCGGTCAATCATTTTATTTATACAGGGTATCCCAGGGAAAACAGTCTACACCGATTTATTGGATTTGGAATCAGAATCTGGAAAAACGCTCAAACCCGTCGATTTTTGATTTGAAGGGAAACTATTTTTCATCCCTGTAGCTTTAACCCCCTAGCTGGGGGGGGGGGGGGACAATCACCAATTTGAATAGGGGATAGGGGTCGGGTCATACCTCTTTCCAACGGTCTCATCGAGTTCTTTATGTCCCTAGAACTTCGTCATTTTCATTCGTCACGAAATGACAGCTTGACAAAATCTTGGAAATAGACTATTGTTTTAGGGCCAAATTATGGACTGACTGGTAAACGTCTGGTTGTTACTTAGCAGGTTCTTTCTATGCTCTAGATAATAGAAAGTACCTGCTAGGTAACAACCAGACACTTACCAGTTGGTCCATAATGTGGCCCTTAGTGGGAGTAAAAGTGATACTTACCTCTCTTATTAAAAATAATTGGAATTGAAGTTTTTTACTATTATTATTAATAGGTGTACACGTGAATTGTAAATTGTAAGTATTTTTATTAAGGGAGGTAAGTACCGCTTTTACTCCTACTAAAACAATAGTCTATTTCCAAGATTTTCACAAGCTGTCATTTCGTTACGGTTAAAATTATGAGATGAAATTCTAGGGTCATAGAGAACTCGATGAGTCCTTTAAAAAGAGGTATGGCACGACTCCTATCCCCTTTTCAAATTTGGGGGGTTGTTCTCTCCCTAGCTAGGGGGTTGAAGCTACGAGGATGAAAAAAACTTAAAAATATTCACCCCACAAATCAAAAATCGGCGTGTCCGAGCGTTTTTCCAGATTTTCATTCCAAATCGGGGTGGATTGTTTTCTCTGGGACACCCTGTATAGTCGGGATGATTCCATCCAAGATGAACAAATCGGGAGCCAGAGGAACAACCAATATAACTGGGGAGGATATTGATGAAACATCCATAAAATGCATGAAGAGCAACAGAATCCCTGGAAAAGATGGCATTGTAACTGAAATTATGAAACTGGAAGGTAAATGCGTCATGAAAGCCTTAAAAACTCTTTGGAGGAACTACACCGGGAACAATGGAAGAATGCCATTGTGATAATCTTGCATAAAGGGAAGACATAACAGAAATTGAATACTATCGACCTATCAATCTATTATCCTATTTATATAAGCTCTTTATGAGGATAATTACTAATAGAATGGAACCTAAGCTACATTTCCACCAACCACTAGAGCAAGCCGGATTAAGAAATGGTTTTGGAACAAATGACCACCTACAAGTGATAAAATCCTTGATAGCGAAAGTTGTAGAATACAACAAACCATTGATATTAATATTTGTGGCGTTTTAGAAACATTTTGACTCAGTCCAGCATAGCTCCATGTTAAAGGCTCTTACAGATTGCAGTGTTGACTATAGGTACACAACTCTTCTTCAGAATATATCCAATAATGCAACAGCTGCATTCAGAATGTATCATGGTGACACTAACAGATTCCCCTTGGAGAAAGGTATTAAACAAGGAGATACCATCCCTCCTAAACTATTCACTGCTCTGTTACAAAGCGCCATGAAGAACCACAATTGGGAATGTATAAGAGTATACGTCAATGGAGAGTATCTGAACAATCTAAGCAGGTTTGCAGTCCTTATTGCAAACGGAGTAGATTATGCATGTCAGCTTCTCAAGGACCTCCAAAGTTCTTTTGAACGAGTTGGCCTTAAAATCAATTGCTCCAACCAAAACACAATTCATGACCAGCCTTGTACTGGCCAAAAATATTTCAACGTATGGCAAGCAAATAGAACAAGTTGATTCCTATAAATTTTTAGGCCACGGAGTAAATTACGAAGCGACAACTATACCACAGAATTGAACGTGAAAATAGGATTCACATGGGCAGCCTATTGAAA